CCTCACCAGCCTCAATGTACACAGAGAAATGTTCATGTGTGCCCTGTGCCTCTGGGTACCCCCCAAATATCGAGGGGGTGATTAACCAAGAGCAAGCTCCACATGGTGCTGGGATCAGCAAACTCAGTAAACTTCACAGGGGAAGGAGGAGACCCATAATCATATCTGCTGATTTGAAAGGGGAACTGTGAGCAGTTTTCACTTGGTACTGTTTATCTGGGACTGAACCAGATCTGTATAGATTTGGCATTACCTATTTTCCATGCCAGGCTCTGGAAGCACAGTTGGTGCTACCATACCTGGCTGGCAGGTGCTTTGAGGGGCTGTGAGCAGGCAGCAGCACCACAATTCACAGGCTACACCTTTAAACGCCTACAAATTTACTTTGGGCTTGCAGATGATAATGAGATTCACGTTTGGGAGAAGGAGCCCATAGAGACTATCAGGAATATTAATGCTATCACAGAAGTTTATTACTGCCTGCATGTTGAGAAGTGGGTAAGGAAACCCTCTGGGCTTTGTTGTGCTACCAGCAATCATCATGCGAGATTTCTGTTCCTGGTTTTTCCACTGATAAGGTATGGGGGAAAAAACCTTCAAGAGTGGTCTTTCGGCAGTGTTTGGGATTTTAAGCCGTGTGGATGTTTCCACCACTGCCTTCTGCAAACCTCCATTTCTCGAACAAGAGCTGAGGGCTTTCCCTGTCCATCCCTTTCCGAAGATTTGCCATTTCTAGCTCAACAAACCCATGTGCCTTATGCTTGCAAAATTCCCACGTGCATCTGCCATCTCACAGAATTAAAGTAACCTATCAAGCGTGGGTCTACACAGCTGTTTTGTTCACATCAAGACAAGCCCTTCACTTCACTCCTCTGTTTCTCCTTGTGCTCCCATCTCCGTTCATGGAGAGGTACCCCCAGCACTGGATTCACAGTAGAAGCAACATGGTGCTGTTGCTTATTCAGATGCCAAGAAGTCATCAGCAATTGGTTTCACGAGGAATAAACCATCAAGATGCAAGCACAGGCTCTGGAAACCTGTCTCTGACATACCAGAAACCCTTCCTATACTTTCTTATCCTTCCCTTTCAATAGGGTAAGGGCTATAAAACCTTGTGCCTTTTATCTAGGTTGGGATCTGGTGCTGAGATCAGCCTTTCTCAATGTTTGCATTCTTTTAAAGCTCTTTATCCATTAAAGAAGGGAAAAAACGAAACGGAAAGGAAAAGCCCACACTCTGGCTGGCCAATGGGAGCAGAACCTCTCAGCACAATTCAGGGATGTGCCCGAGCAGGCAGCAGTGCCATGGAAATCAAGGGGCTGGTGGCAAGAGTGACGGGAAGAGGGATATACCTGGGAGGAGATCCATTTCTGCTGAAAGCTTCATTACGGCTCCTCTATCCAGGAGGTACAGATAAAGATGAAGCAGACTTCACTGATTTCATCACAAACCTGCCCACACCAGGTTCCAGAGGAGCTGCTGCACATGTGGGAAATTTGAACTGTATTTACATTTTGAAACAAATTACAGAACAGGCACTTGCTCCGATGGGTGCCCAGACTGCGATGAGGCCCCACAGGCTCCAGCTGCAGGTTGGGCAGGGGTGCCCTGCTGCCACCTTGCTGGAGGCAGAGCCAAAAGCACCAGCTCGTTTTTCCCAGGTGGCACAAGCCAGGCACAACCAGTTCCATTCCAAGAGGGTCACCAAACCCCACCAAAGTGCCCTTGGCACAACAGCACCTTTGCTGATGGACGTGGTACCCCATTGGTGTCCCCCAGCACAGACGTACCAAGAAACCTTTCCAATTACAGATGATACCTTAAATGGGTCTTAGTTAAACTCCAGCTGCTTGGTGGGCTTTGAGAAGTGTGGCATTGCTGCTGGAGGAGCTCCTGGTTGTTACATTTAAATAAAGATTCTGCTGAAAGTTCTGCTTAAAATCGCAATGCTTGCTGCTCAGGAAAGCATAGGTGATTCCCCCAGAGGCCTGGCCAGCAATCCTGCTCCTATTGTACAACATTATTGATTAATCAAAACTATTGCTCACAGCTGTTGCCTGATGGATAATGTCTTCGGTGTTTGCCTGCATATAATTATTTACTGCTTTATTGATGTTATTTATTTCTTAAGTATTGTTGGCTGTTTAATTATGTGAAACACAACTGCAAGTGTCTAAAAGTCATGGGAAAGGCTGCCCAGAGCTGAAATCTTTCAACCATAGACTCCAAAAATAAATCTAAATATAAAAATATTTTAGTCAGCCTTCTGAGCGAAGACCATCAAACTGCAAACACATTACATGTCATCTGGAGGCTGAGACACCAGAGTGCTATGTTCAGATAGATCTGTAATGCTGATTTGATTGCACATGGCAAAGGCCTTTTGCAGACTTGTAAATACATTTTATTAGATCTCCAAAACACATAAGAAAGACCCTTATTTTATTCTTGGTAGCTGAATGTTGGAAATAAACTAAAGTGAAAGTCTGATTTCCCAAAACTTACAGTCAGGAGTGTAGCACTAAACCTGCATTATATAGGAAAAACTGTTGTTTAAACATGTCTTAAAATGGCTTTTGGTGGTCTCTTTGCAAACACATGCTTCTTCTTCCCAGCACCCCCCATGACAAGTGTTATCCATGCAGGAATGTCCTGGGAAGGTGTCCTGAGGTGTTTCCCATTGGCCTTTGTTAACCTCTTCCTGTGATTGGGTATTCCTGTAAGCCCCTTGAGACTTCTAATTGGTTACTATGTGAATCCTCCTAAACCCTGTAAATGTAACATCCCCCACAATAAAGCCCTCTCTTGCCTCCTCTCCACACCCAGTGTCCTGTCTCCGTGCGGGCCATGGAGCCACGTGCGTGGGGGGAGGGGAGGGCACCTCTCCCCTCCAGGCTCAGGGACAGAAGAAAACCCTGAAGAAACCCCTGGAGTTCCCTTTCCCCATCCTTCAAGGCATCGGAATGGTTCTTCAGATGGAAATGGAACTAGAACTGGGCCACCCCACACCGTGGGTGGGGAAAGGGATCCAGACAGGAGGGCCTAAAGAAGCTCCTTTCAACAACCTGTTCCTGTGCCAAGGTCCATGGACTTTGCAGGCTGAATGCTGGCCCTGTACAGTGCCCCAGCGACAAACTGGAAGTCTCTCCAGGGGTTCCCTCCAGGCTCTCCCCTCTGCCCCCCAGCTCTTTGTGAGAGAAAAGGACTCAAGGGCCCCTGCACCCTCCCTGCCCCACCACCCCACTGCCCTCACCCTCCTCAGAAGCACCAGGCACAGCCACTGCAGCAGATCTGTGTCTGCCCTCACTGAATTAGGGAGCTGACATCTAGTCCTTGGATCAACATGGGACAAGAATGGATGTGCTGAGGTTTACTTAGCTTGTGATGTAAGACAAACTTTAACAGAACAACTTTTCTTTGCAAGAGCAAGCCACGGGCGTTTAGGGGCAAAATCAACATCTTAAATTCTATCTGGAAACCAACAAGTGAGTAGAAACTAGGTCTAAGACACATTGTTTGGCTCTCAGCAACATTTAGGTACTTATTATTTAAAAAAACCAGCCAGGTACATGACTACAAATATAGTATTAGAGAACTTGGAAGATCTTCTCAGTCTGCGAAACAACCAGAGGACCCCAAATCCTACTGTAGCTCACAAATCATCAACACACCTATAACAGATCAGAAATAGCTTCTGTATCTCCTTATTCACAACATAAAAATTCCCTCTCTGACATCCTCTCCAAACCGTGCTCATCAGGCCCTTTTCCCAGGGCAGGAGAACAAATTGCTCTGGCAGTCCTCGCCTGGACATCAGTGCATTTGTTATTTGGGAGCTACTGGCCCGAATGTCTCTTCACAACTCCTTGTAGACCTCCCGCTCACTTCTGCGGCCGTGCACTACCACCAGGGAGGACTTAGCCACTGCTTTATGACAAGTACACAAAATGACCAGTTGGCAAACCTCCCAACTTCCCTATAGCTCTCTCCTAGGGCAAAGCCTCTGCTTTTCCTGTAGGAACCCCGAGGAGGACCAGACTAATGCCTGGCACCATCAGGTCACCTGTGTCTGTCCCAGTGTGTCTCACAAGCACAAGTTTACTGTGGGCCCCGAGTTCTGCCCGCGCTCTCAATATACAGCACACATTCACCTCTTGTTTTAACTAAGACATGTTGGGGAAAACCTGAGAGAAACAGTACGCAGAGAGGAAGAATAAAAAAAAAAAAAGAGAGATCATGGGTCTAGGGAATTTGGTCTCCATTTCCTTCTTTGTCTCCTTCCCAACCTCCACATTTTGAGATATTTCCTCTGTCTCCAGCCAGTTCTTCCTCTGCCTGCTTTTTTAAATGTCACAGTCTTTCCTGTATCCCCTGTGCCCACATTGTGAGGGTACCATGGGCACCTTTCCAGCAGGGATGCACAGAGCAATGGGGAGCAGAGCTAGCATTTTCAAAGGAAGCTCAGGAAATCTTTATGGAGAACTTGGTGAGAATTTGGCACTTGGCACCCTTTTGCTCTTTTGAAAGTCCCACCCTACAGGAACATCTAAACAAATGTATGCCCCAACGCTGATAAATCCCTTTGGAAAGGTATCAAAGAAAATCTTTCTGGGTTTGGAGACCTGTGAAGAAAGGGAAATATCCTGCCAACCTGACGCTGAGATCTATCTTGTTCCACCATGTGGTCCAAATCATCAAGAGTCCTCCACAGCTCCCCTTCCTCCTTGGGGCGTGGAGAGCAGCACTGCCTCGCTGAAGAAAGGGATTTGAGGGCCAAGAGGACAGCATAATTTGAGAAAAATTCAAATGAAAAATTACTTAACAATGGAAGTTGTTACTGTGTCTAAAAATATCTCAGTGAGTCAGATTACTGAAAACAGCAAAGCTACGGAGCAAACCCCACAGCCTCTTCTCAGCAGTCAGCTGGCTTCATTCACCAGCTTGGCATCTCTTTCCCCCTTATGTTTTTAATATCATGAGTACGGTTTTTTTAAGTTGACAGTAAGTTAATGTTTAATGGGTTGCCCTGTACAGTTCTGGGTGTTTACACATTCTCCAACAAGCCAAATTTGTAGAGCAAATTAAAAGTCTGTAAGATCAGGACAGGCGAATTACAAGTATTTTTTGCTCAGAAGGTATCGCCTCATTCAGCCCTGCACAGCCCCCAAAATAAACGGTTTCAATTATGTTTTCACCTTCCCCAGCGATATTAACACCTCTCACCACTGCTGGCCAGGGCCATCCCTCCTTAGTCCACATCTGTTACGGCTCTGTGCACAAGCACTTCCTGGGAATATGCAACCTTGCATGGCACCATGGTCCCAGGTTTTGCAGGGTAACCTATTAAACCCCCTGGCACAGGATCAGGTGTGCTAGAGAAGCATGGGAGAAGGGAAGCTGGGGATTATGGTGTTGTCAATGCTTTCTTATACTAATGAGATGGGTGGGTGTGACCCTCTCTTCCACTGACCAAAATATATAAATAATGAGAGTTTTCCATTCCCCAGTGGGCAAATCACTGCTGAGCAAGACATTCCCCACTCCACAGCAGAGGGGCTCTTGCTTGGCTTCCCCAGTTTCACACGTGGGTGACTTTGCTCCGTTGGTCTAAAGGTCCCAAGACCCCTCCCTCCTTCAGAACCAGCCCAGGTAGGACCCTGGGCTCTCCCCCTCTGCCCGCCCTGTGGGCAGCTGTGAGGGAAGCCACCAAATCTCTCAAAAACCCATGACACCCAGGGGAGAGCAGGGCAGCTCAGAGATGCCGCCTTCCCCAGGCACATGCTGTAAATTTGAATATTACCCACTCCACATGATGTTTTGGGTTCCTTGTGCACACTGCCAAGGTGTTCCAGGTGATGTGACCCAAGGCGGCCGATATCTCCATGAGGGGCTGGGCATAAGGTGTTGCTGAGCCCACCAGGAAGGGGCGAGCAAATCCCTTCATCCCACCTTGTGCAGGGCAGCCAGCAGTCATAGTAACTTGGCACAGCAGGACCTAAGGAAGCAAAATTGAATTTTTTTAGAAAAAGGCCACGTGTCTTGTGTTGTCAATGGTAAAATTCCCACTGGCGCTGGTGGGAACAGGATTGGGCCCAGGCTGCACCCCTGTTCTTTCCCAGGCTCACAAGGATTTAAAATTCTGGATTTCAAATGATAGTTTATTTCTAGCTGACCTGTTTGGCTTGAACTGTTACACGTTTTCAGCTTATTTTTATTCTACTGTGTTAGTACACAAACCTAAGCAGGAGCAAGGCGTTAACAACACTGTTCAGCCTCTGCTGGCTGAACAGGCTGAAGTCCCCCAAATCCATGGAGATCCCCCTGTCCAGCTCCTCTTGGATCATGATGCTGTGAATTCACCAAGTGGAGGGAAGGGGTGAAGGCAAGGGCTCATTGGCACGTCCCTCCCCAGCAATGCCTCCCTGTAGATCCAACACCCAACATCCCACCTGGGTGGTGGGGATGAACCACGGATAGTGTGTGAGAAACTCCTCACACACACGTTTGGATCAGTTGATGTCATTTGATGTCAATGGCAGCCTGTGACATTGCTCTGTGTTAATTTTTTTCCCCTCCCTGCTATTTGAAGAGTGAGATTTTATCTTCCTTTTCCCACCCCCCTCCTGTCACCCAGTGCCTGTTCCACTGAAACCTGCCTTTCGGGTCAGTGTGCTGGTAAGAGATTAATTTTACACTGCAAGAAACACCAAGCAGAGTATTTCAGCTTTGACATATGAGACATCTGTTACAATATTGCAGTTTTTCTAAATTAAATATTAGGAAAAATTAAACCCAATTGTGGTCTGTATTCCTATGGAAAATACTTCTGTTCCAAACAGTCCCTCCACACTAAATGACTTAAGTAACTGAAAACACAATAAATATGCAGCAAGTTAAAAATCCATATTATTCAGGTTTTAAGGCCTATAACTAAAAGTAGTTTAATGTTTCATGCCTAATAATAGATTACTCCTATCACATTTCTAACCTTTATTTCTAGCAGCTTTGAAGTCCAGCCATATAAAGGCTGTTTGTAGAACCACACGAAAGTTAAAGCAAATATTACTCAGAGTGATTCATATGAACAAGAATTTGCAACGAAGGCAGAGGGGTTTTTGTGTCTGTATCAAAGGAAATGAAATGTTTGCAATATTTTCAGTTGATAAATGCATTAAAACATTTTAGTTTTGTAGTATGAACATTGCTGACATAAACAGACTTTGACCTGAAACAGATTGCATTAAGCTTTGTGGGGGGGGTAGCATTAAAAGAAATAAAAATAAAATAAAATAAAAAATAGAAATTCCTAGATTTCAGAATCTGCCACAAGGTCACCGCAGTCCTTAATTAGCTGAATACATTAAGAGAAGGCTGGAACACAGATTCCATAAAGAGAGCAAATGTATATTTAATCCTCTGGTTTTTGCTTACAGATTACCCTTTCAGAGTGAGTAACCTTATTTTCTTTTTAAATATCTATTTACCTTTTTGAGCTTTGCATAGCAAAGCAGGGTTTCTTTTTTTTATTTCCTTCCCACTGTTGCAAAAGAAATTAATTTGTTGCTAGTTGCTATGCATTGGCAGGATTCCTGCATAAAGAATGTAAGCCATCTATCTTTGTATTCAAGATATAGTTAATCTGGCAGTTAAAATACTTTGGAAACATTTTGATGACTTATCTGGAAAAGTAGCTTTGCATTTTCAAAGAAAACTCAGAACTGTATTGCAAGGGGAAGATAAAAGATATATGAAGTGTTTGTTCCAAGCGATACTATTCATTTAAAGATCAGAATGTAACCCCACCCAAGCAATTATTGTGGAAAAACAAGACAAAAATCCTTATACAGCTTTCTGACACGGTCTTTATTTGGGAAACAAAATAACTATATTACAGTTATAGTCTAATGGATTGCAAGCTGTTTTATTAGAGTCAGCTGAATCCTGTTTAGCATAAAAAAGAACTCTGTTTGCTATCAAGAACACATTTACATTAATATGACTTTGACAAAGTAAAATAAAATCGCATTAAGATGATGTAAGTAGATAAGACAATGAAATCTCTGTGAGACAGTTTTGGCACACCAATTATAGTCAAGTCCCTACAGGAAAGAAACATATTTTTACACCAAGTATCCATGCGTTTTTAAGTCGTAGAGTGGCCAAAATTAATCCCATGCTTAAGATATTTCCAGTCAGGGAAAAGAGAAAGTTTATTATTATTATTTTTATTTTTCCCTTGAAAGGTAAAATTTCTGATAAACTACATTTTTATTTGCAATAATACAAACAAGTTTTGTTCTCCATACTAGCCTGTAATCATCCTGATTATTGCAAGGGACTTTCCAATATAGAGCAACTGAAAACAAGGTTTTAGATTACATGGTAATTTAGGAATGCATGAAAAGCCAAGCAGTCACCATAATAGAGCACTGCATAAAACTTCATGGCTTTTACAGCAAAACATAACATATGTTTTGTGATTCATTCAAATGATTTTTCAAGTTTTTTGATCAAAAAATACGTCGACCTCTCGTGTTGGTCCTATATTTAGGGAGCCTTACTCTCAAAAAACGACGACGACACCACCCCCCCACACTTTGATGTCTCTCCTTTTAGTTTGGTCATTAAAAGCTCAGCAGTGATGGATGGTGATAATGCTGTGGGTTTTATGAGTAATCAGGCCTTGGCAGCCACAATATTTCTTTTGTAGTGAAACTTTAATATTCCTTTGGCCGTGCATACACTTTTTCTGCTTTCGGAACCACATAGTGCAAGCTACTCACTAAGCATTAAAAAACAGTTATTGCCCAAAAGCTGGTGTTTTATTTAACACCTGACAGAGCAAAGCTTCCCCATCTTGGACACTCAGAGTTGGCATGTTACAACCCTTCTGTGATCAGAGGGCAGGTATATATTCACAGGAGGAGCCTCTGGCAGGGTAGAGGGATTTTTTGGCTACGCCCCAGACAGGGCACCTCACACAGCCCCACTCTCCTCTCCCCCTTTCACATATTTTTAGTGAACTTGCTGCAACAAACACCAGGTGTCTCCACTTAGCTGGGCTACAGCTTAAAAAAGGGGCCTGCTACCAAAATAATAAAAGAAAAGGGAAAAAAATTAGGGTTGTTCTTTCCATGGCTTTTAATGTGCCTGTTGCAATGCTGCATGCGAGGACGAGGACGTACAGACATGAGATATTCTCGTCCCAGGGTCATATTTTATGTTGTCACTCGAGACACCTCTGTCAGGCAAAGCAGGACCTTCCAGAGTTTGAAATAATCCAAATTCAATCACTTTAAAGCTGCTACAATATGCAAGTCCTGGCAGCCGTTTTAAATTAATGGAACATCAGATGTGCTCTGATCCTCTCAATTTCCTTGGGCAAGGGAAATTCTGCTGCGGTGGTAACGGGAGGGGAAATATAGGGCTATCAGTAAAATAAATGTCAGCTTTTGTCTGCTGATAGAAAAATGCATACAGCAAAAAAACCCCCACCATAGTATTTATTGCTCTGTAATTAAAATCTATTTCTATATGTGGTAAGGATTATCTTAGTGGTTTGGACAAGTGATCACTGTGCAGTCTGATCCACAGGAAAGGACGTTAAATTAAGCCAAAATACAAAATTGCTCTTTATTTGCCATTTTACAAATACAGCTCAATATTTTGCTTGTGTGTAGATATTTATTTATTGAGCCTGCTCATGTGTTTATCAATAAAAATACTAGAATGCCCACCTTGAAAGTCCAGTTCCAGGGCATTGATGGGCTTTTGGCAAGAACTCAGGACAGGGGGAGGGGAAGGGGGGGTGGGAAGGGAGGAAATCTAAAAAAACTCCAAAGCAAGATGACAGCCCATGGTTTGGAGTTTATTTAGAAAGTGTAAACATTCATCAGGTTTGTCAAAAGGTTTGCAGACCTGAAAACCTTTTGATCAAACCTGGGCTGTGTTTTGAGGATACTTGCCCTAGAATATGGTTTTCAAGATGCAATTCAGTAGCTTTGCTTTTGAAATACAAACAAGCCCAAAAATTCAAATCAAGGCTCTGAATCTTGCATAAAAGCACAAGCTTTTGTGGTGCATGGTTTTTGCTGATCTGTAGGGCTTATCACCCAGGGTTATGTACTGGCTACAAGGGCCCATGTTTCATAAAGTCTTTTTCCTGAAACAAAAATATAATACAAGCTGTCAGAGTTAAATTGAGGACAAGGTATTTCTCTAATTCTGATTTTTCAGTTATTTGCTTTATACGAGGAGAACTTGGCTTCTTCTGTGCTAACTGGGACTCACATTGCCAGACAGCATGCTTAAAATTATTTTTTAAAATGCTGGATTTTGAAGGCTCTTAAATCTTTTGAGGTAAATGAAAATAAAATCATAGTCTGGGACCTAACAGAGACTTTTAATCTTGATCTTAAAAACATGAATCATACTACAGCATAGAGTAAAGCTATTTTCTGTCCTCTACACTCACCTTCTCTACACATAGTAATATTTGATATTTATATGTGCCAATTAGAGCTCTCAGGTAGTCCCAGTACCTCCTGCCAAGCTCCGTACACAGTTACTGCCTCGCAGTCTATGGCTGAGATTTCTACAGGCTTGCTGCTTTTCTCATTTCAGTATGACATTTCAAGCAAGCCTGATTAAAACTAAGCAAAGCAGAAGCAAAATGTCTCAAATTCCAGGTGTGTAACATTATGGAAACAAAACCTAGGCGGATTAGTCTCGGAGCAGGAAAACTAGTGGCAAGGTAGGGGTGTTGCAATAAAATTACAGAAAAACTTGTCCCACAGCCACGCTGGAAAACCTGGCCATTGTTTATTACCAGATGTGGGGCAGAGCCTCAGTCCAGCCCCAACACATCCTTGATAGCCCAATCCACTGGCTGGCTGCTCCAGTGGGTCTCAGAAGTGCAGCCAGCACACAGATGCCAGGATGAAGGAAGACCAGTTGAAGTATGTGGGGTTTTATCACATTTTCATACTGTAAAATTCTGACTTAATGCTAAAAGGAGAGCATCCCCTCCCAAATCTGCCAGAAGAGATGTCCCTTCCCTATGCCTGCCTGGAGCAGGGGTTAGTGGCTGCCAGGATGCTCCCTCGGGATGGGCACTAAGCAGGGGCAACAGGCACCAAAACCCAGGGCCTCTTTCAGTGGTCCCCAAACAAAGGCAGGAGTGAACTCAACTGAGGATGCTCTGCCAAGATACTCTGCCAAGCCAACTGCCTGGCAGCTGCCAGGGTGCAGCAGCATGGCTGATGGCTCCTGGACATGGTGGGTCCTTCATCCTAGTGGTTTTCCCAATGGAGAGGTGTGGGAAGGGATATCCAGCCTGTCAGTGCCCTGTGGGTGAGCAGACATGTGCTCTGGTGGGAAGGGGTACTGAGGCCTTGAGGTATGCCATGGATGTTGTCAGATCAGGCTTCTATTCTCCAGGATCCTGCCCTGTTTTTTGTCTCAGAAAAGGCTGTGACCAGCAAGGAATTAATTCCAGTATTTGTTTACAAGTCCTACAGTCTCCTCCTGGTGAGTCTGAAGACAACATAGGATGCTTCTCACAGCTACACCCACCACCAAATCATGACAGCAGAAACAATTAAGATGGAAATTCATCCTACCTATACAAAACCAGGCACTGAATCCCCATGTGTCTGAATCCTTTTGTATTTGAAACTTTCCATTGCCTCCACTGGAGCTTTAAGGCAAAGAATTTGAAGATTTGTCCCTAAATAAAAAGTACCAAATTAATATAACAGCACGGTGAAGTTTCCATTTACTGCACACAACAGTCAAGCTATTCAGACTTATGGCTCCCACTGCAATTGTAATTCAGTTTCCTTGCTCATACATAATGCTTTTATCTACTCTGAATGGGGTTATCTCTAGTTCCTTAACAAGCCCATATAATTCAGCTGTCACAGTTTCCATAAGAACAATACCTTGGAATTTCCTGCCTTTAATTTGGACTAACTCCTGTCTATAAGCATTGCATTAACAATGTTTCCAACTTGTGTGGTGACTATGAAATCAATCATTATGTACATGTTACATATACATTTATAACACTCAAGTGCCATTTGCAGAGGTAACATCTCAAAGTAATGTAAGGATCTTCTCTGGATAAATCCAACAGCCCCAGTTGGGCTGCCTCCTCTGTCTCAGGCTTTGCAGCTGGGATGTTTGCTGTGAAGGAAATTCTCCCACCTAAGCAGGCGGAGAGGACAGATATGAACCTGCTTCAAGTCCTGCCCTACTTTTCTGCCATGAGGACTTCTCCTGTTGCCTGACCACAGGAAGATGGTGGTCCTCAGGACAGAGATGTCTCCTGGCACATGCAGCAGCATCCCACCTGCCGCAGAAGTGTTGGGAAAGCTCACCCAGACACTCCATTGCACCGACCTGTGCCCAGCCTGTCAAGAGAGGTTACTCTGTCTCTACTTGGTGAGGACATTTAGCACCTGAGCGCTGAGGCTTCCCAATCAGACATCCTATAGCACACTGACAAATGGCTGGTTCTATTTTTTTGCCTCCTGTACTCCAGGCCCATTCATTCAGTGCACTCCTTTTGATCAGACAGACCCAAACCTCGAAACATTGTCCCCTTTTTCCTGAGTGTGTCAGCTGGTCTGATAGGAGATGTTACCTTTCCCTAAACCACCTCTCTAGAGTTTCACCATTTGTTTTGTGGCATGGAAGAACAACTCCAGTTTGACTGTGCTCATACTTGGCAGTTCCCCTGAGCTTCAGGAGACCAACAGCTCTTCACAGAAGTGCAAATTTTATCTCTCCTTTGCCCTCAAACCACCCCTCCTACAGATCTGCGTGCCAAGCTGTCAAGGAAGGACATCTTGACACAGCAAAAGGCAAGAAAGATTCAGTACATAAAGACCTGATAAACATCACTTTCTAGGTTTTCTCCCTCAAAAGCACAGGTTCCCAGAGGTCAATATATGGCAGAGTGAAAAGTATATTCATAAGCTGAGCAGCCTAAGAGTGACATTTCTTACATCCCTTCTCCCCCTGGCTCCACATTTTCTTCCCATACCAAAAGTTTTCTAAAACTTTGCATATATTTTCAAACTAAGAATGTCCTAATTTGTGGAATAAAGAGAACTGGGGATGAAAAATGAGAATGACATAAAGCTGGGGTGGGTTACCTCCAGCACAGCTGTGGGGGGACCAAGCTGCACACAGTGGGAAAGCATGAAATGGCAGGAGCCCAGCTGAGGGGCTCAAGGCTACTTGAGCACACCCAGCACCACACACAGCCTGGAAGAATGTCAGCCTAGAACCCACTGTTGTTATGCTGCTTACAGGGAGCAGCTCTCACTCATTTCTCTATCTCCTGTTCACTTGTTCAATAATGAATAAGTAGCAAAATATGTGCTCTACCTTTGCAGCCCTGCCTATAACAAAGACCATTGGCTGGTCCAAATTACTTCACCTTAGTCATCTTGATTTTTACCAGCTGGGAATCTGGCCCAGGTTTCCTCTGGTTCATGAGGGAAATAAACCATATAGTATCACGGCTGAGTTGATGACGCAGGTGGACCACAATTTCCACAGAATGTGGCTGGAAAGAGGGTAAGGTTGTTTGCACTGACCAGATGGCACAAGTGCAGTTTACCAAGTGAGAAAAGATTATCCAGCCACAGAGAGGCTGCTGCTGGCTTGGCTGGGGCTCTGGCACCAACTCTCTGCACGAACCCAAGCTTTCTAAAGAGTCTGTGAGAAGATGAGAATGCTGGTCCAAGGCTGGGCAGGCGCTGCCAGTGACAGAGCAGATGCATATGTTCCCAAGAATACTGAGGGGCAGCCTGGCACTCTGGCTAGGGCTGGAAGCTGCATGGCACATGCACATGCAGCCACAGCTATCATTAGAGCTTTGCTGCTTTGGCACCTCTTCCTAATTTACTTAATTTCTATTTATACCATTCTGTTTCTGTTTTGAGCCTTTATGAGATGCTGACATGTCTTGTGCAGAGCCAAACTTTGGAAGGAGGCTTTGGAAAGAAGTCATTTTAAGTGGGGATAAAAAGTGTCAGAGCACTGGGAAGGGCCATTCCCGAGCAAAGGGTGGCCCCTGTAAGTGCAAAAAGGCAACTGGACCAGTCCTTAGGACTAGGTCAGTGCTGTCCTGCCTGGAGATGCAGATCCCCGAGGGTTTATGGAATATACTTGTAGAGTCTGTGAAGTTTTTTGGGAAAAAACTAACCTTGTTGACAGCAGCTTTCCACTCCTGAGTCTGAACCTCCATTAGAAAATGGAGGGAGAGGTCTTCAAATCAAGGGAGGCCAAAACCCGCAGCATAAGCATGTCCAAGCTCTGTCTCTGGAGTAGTCATTTATCGTGTCCAACTGATGAGTCCTTTTGAAATAAACCACCTAGTTATTGCAATCACACTGCAAACCATGGGCAGAGGGTGGGAGGCCTTCGCCTCCATGTGTGACCCAGGGACTCATTTGTCATGGCTTGGCTGAAGGACATATGGAGGGAGCTCCTGAGGAGCAGCTTCTAGACAAAAACTACACATGCCAAGCCCAAACAGGGCTGATCAACAGTTTTGGTGGTTAGAACTCCAAGAGCTCCAGTACAAGCAGCAGATAGGAAGAATATAGCTGTTGATGCTGACATGTTGCTGCCCTTATGGAATGATGATAAACAGCTGGAAATGCATGTGATGCAGTGGGATGGAGTGAACAATTTCAGGCTCACTGAAACATCACAAATGAAAGGGCAATCAACTGAGGATGCTGAATTCTTCCTTTGCAAATCATTTGTGGGTTGTTTCACTGCTTCATAATGCAATGGGCATCAGTCCCCTGGCTTTGGGAAGACACACATGGCAAGACTGAAGGCTTCCAGGCTGGTCAGGCACGCACAGGGTCCTCAAAGCCTCCCACTGCAGCAAAAACATTTAAGGTGGATGAACATATTCAGGCAGAAGAAGAGAAGAGAAACCCTGTTTGTTAGTGGATGACTGAGGAGAAGATGCAGAATGGGTCCACATTAAAAAAATCTTCCTTCTTGGAGGAGCTTCCTTTCTTCCCTTTTTTTCCCCCTGAATAATTACACAGTTAACGACTCCTCTGTGCAGAGCAGTCCCAGGCTTCAGAGCACACTACCTATACATTTCCAAGGACAGGTGGGCACTGACAGCTGTAGGACATCACTTGAAGCCATTCCTCAGGGGGACCAGCTACTGAAGCACTGAAAGCCCTGTCTAGAGCTACCTTGAAACGGGGGAGCTTATTTCTGTATTTCCATGGATCTGGTGTTGTACTCTGCCATCAGCTTTAATTGTTGCTGCTCTGAAGAAAGCCTTTGTTCAGTACCACTGCCTACTTCACAGTGACATCATCCAAGGCTGTGTAAAAAAAAAGCACAGCCTGGAGTAGTCAGCCACGTGATGATGTATAAATAGCACTGACAGAACAATATTATAAACTCTACTGGTACAGCTGAGATAAAGCTCGCAAGTTGCTGATTCATCTAAGATATCGGCTCGAGGGATGGCATGAGGTTCAGCTACAATAAACCTTCTCAGCTAAAAGCATATTACTTCACCATGAATCAGCTCCTCAGATCTTTCATTCTTTTCAGAAAAGAACCTGTCTCTTCCTGCTTCAGTCCTCCATTACTGAACATGTGAATTATAGAGCCTGGATTTTATTTCTGCTTCCTTTACGCTGAAATATGCCACAGTCAGAGAGTTCTCTAAGGTTTTATATACACATAGGAAAAGTAAAGCATTCCTAAAACTGCTTGCCAAGTGTTTGGTAACAGTAAGGTTTATGTTATTGTTCACAGCTCTGTTTCTACTTTGCCCGCCACTAGAAAAACAAACAAGGGACCATTATTTCAATCAACCTGGAAATACTGACCCATGCTTCCAACATATCTGAGTATGTAATGACTAATTCATTTTATGGCTTTCAATAAGATACATGCAAAGTCAAGTACATATCCACATACAATGTTGTTTTAAAATGGACAAAATGAAACCTCACACACCATGCCTAGAAATACAGGAATTAAAGGAAAAAAAGAAGCCAAGCCATGAGTGACTTGCTCCTTGGAACACACCAGCAGCAATTATTTGTGCTGTCTCCCACATGGTCCATGAAGTTTTCTCTCATTGGATTTAGCTTTTGAAGTATCGGGACTGTAACATCAGCCACGTTGACACTATGACCCCTCTTCACAGGAAGACCCTGGAGGAAAGTACATGGACTACAGAACCAAAAATGGTACCAGAGTTGCAAATTCAGGGCAGCTGCTTTTGGGAAGCCGAGCCTCATGCTGCAGCCCGAGCATGTGTCATGGTAAAAGCCAATCTGCCTGGGGTAGGATGCTAAATGCCCAAAGCCACAAACACACAGGCAGCTCCAGGAATCCCTCTCTTGTGGCAAATTCTCACCCACAATGTGGTCATCATATTTTAGACACAATTAAAAGAGGTTTTAAATGTTTAACTTTCAGTTTTCCACACTACATCCACGTGGCCAAAAGCAGCACAGATAACAAAAGGTAACTTGTGAACAGGAGGATAGTGAGGTTTTGCTTCCTTCATGTTAGGCAAGCTCCTCTGCCATTGGTACAACACTGCTCAGTGTCTTGACTCGGGCTAATGAGCAGAGCCAGGACGCTCCCAGCCTGCTCCCTCACCTCCTGCATGACTGTCTGTGCCTCCTAAAGCCTTTCTTTGCTTGTGCATCACCTTGT